AATCTCTCTTGAGCAATGGCTTCCCTCTCCAGCCATAAACGCTGTTGAGTTTTTCTGGAAAAAAAAAATGCAATAAGCAAGCAGTTTGCTTTAAAATGCAGATGACTTAAATGTGCTGAATTAATAAAAGGATTACCCCATATGCCTTTTTAAAATATTGCTGAACTTGAAATACACTTCAGTGATGAAAACTGTTTAATAGGATCATGGAAAATCCATTTCAAGAAAATAAATAAGAGTTTTATTGAAGGAGGAAAATGTTTTTAACTGCCATTTCTAATTCATGGAACCCACAGAACATTAAATAAAGCAATTTTAAAGTCTATTCATACACTAACTATCTCAGTAGAAAAAGTCTAGTTTTTAGTAACGGAGGTGCGATGAGATGTGGAAAGTGCAAGAGACGCAGAAAAGTCAAAAGAAGAAAGTGAGCAGCACGCTTGAACCAATGAATGTTCTGCTTGACTCAGATTCTACATTCTTACGTATGATCATAATATTCAGGTATGTATTTTCTTTTTTTAGTACATTGGAGGGGATCCCATAGGTTCTGTAAGTTCTCTTGGTTTCCCAAATTAGTTTTTAACTATGACTAACTTAAAAGCTTTTTAAAAATTATAATGTATTTCAGCTTTTGTACAATTGTGGATTGACAGGTTTCATCACATTCCATCTTGAATCAAATTCCTGATGATTAATGTACAGTATTGTCACAAATTTTTATTAACATTTTTATGCACCTTTCTTCTTCCTCTTCCAGTAATCTTTTCTTTTCAGCTCTTTCCTTTACTTCTAATTTGGCCCTGGTAAAAACAAAGTGTATTGATCGCAAAAGCCTTCTACAAAAAATACAATTAACTTCTGACTCTTAAGCCTCAAAGACAGGACTACTTATTTCATGCAATTTCATTCATACTGCACAAACTGTACATATATTACCAATACCTGCTGTTTCCGCAAAAGCTGGACATACAACAAAATTTACATTAATTTAGAAACCTTTTCAAAGAATTTAACATCTGTGGAAAATAATGAGTGGACTATCTGCTTATTAGTTATCATTTTTTCTGTTGATAAGCTATAACTTCAACTGTTCCATCAAGAGTTTGAAAAGCTGTGACTGTAGGGACCTTCTTAGAGCAACACACATGCATGACTTACATCCTTACCATGCCTATTACATACATCTACTGCAACAAAAGTAACAACAAACAATAAAAGATAAGAGGATCAAATCTAGGGTCTCGTAGCAATCTGGCCAAATAATTAATTACTTACTTCAAGATGGGGTCGTTCTCTATTCTCCACTTTTCTGTAGGAATAAAACAAAAACAAAGAAAGCGGGTGAATTTTACAGTGTGAC